CTCATCTGAACAAAGTTCTAATCGATTCTTAGGAGTAAATAATCGATTTTCGGCTACTGTTCATCATCTTCTTCCTCTGGTCAGTTTCGAGTATTATCATTTTTAATCACCAAACTTCAATTAAATTATATAGAAATGTTCTCCAAGGTTCATAGATCATTTTGGAATCATTAAAACATATTTTTAACATCAAATTCAAGATTTATGATTCTTGGTTCTTAAACATGTCAAACACAAAACTCAACCAAACAACCATTTATGAACGTAAAAACAACCTACATGAACATTCTAGTCTTTAGATATATCTACGGGCTTACCTCAAAGCGTAAGGAAGGTTTTGACGATTTTCCGGCGACTCTATCTTACTGCTCCGGCAACCTCACACAAAGATGACAACACCACTGCACTCTACTCTCAGCAAGGAACAATATGGGAGGAAGAATGAATGTTTTTGGTGAGGAATTGAGGGAGTTGAGTTGTGCTTAAATAGGCCAGTGGAGAAGAAGAAGACACAGGCTTGGTTACTTCCGTGATTGTGCGGCGATTTGGAATCGGCGTAATCAAACAGGGCGCCGTTTGGTGTGTAGTCCCTGATTGGGACTAATTTTGGTCCCATTTAGGGTACACTTTTTGTTCCAACTTTCTCCAAATTGAAATCCGATTGGACCGTTGGGATCAGACAGTCAAACTCTACATAATGATATGATTTTCATTATTTATTTACAAACTTTAGAATTTACTTATTTTTGGGTCCTTCTCAGTAATTAATTAATTATAAATTAATTAACTCTGATAGGCCTATTTTTGGGGCGTTACATAATATATATGTATGTATGTGATGAATGATTCGACAAGTCTAACGCAAGGGTACAGACCTGGAAATCATTGGCCGAAATCTTACGGATGAGCAGGAGTGGAAACAACATCGAAATTCACCAACTTTGTCATTCTCGTCACAATTGGACAACCTGCCGTATTTTGGGCATATCTCTATCGTTTCTTCACGGAATTGCAAACCGCTTGATTCTGTGGATTCCTAAGATGTAAGGCTATAACTTTTGTATAGAAAGTATTTCGAGTTAACAGATGTAAGATAACGTAAATAGGACCTGAAGTCAAAGGATAGTTGCTGTCCAAGATTTCGGATATGTCGATGAACAACGATTTCGATGATTAACTCATTGACTTCAATATTCCAACACCGAACCTTCTCTATGATACCTTCCGAATGTTCCTAATAATCGTTAGAGAGTTTATGGTAAGTGTTTGGAATGAAACAACATGGATATGGTGAGGAAACATAGCCAACCCGATGAGCTCACCACTACTGGCGCAGTCCCGGTATTTTGGCCATATCTCCTTTGTTACTTAACGAAATCGCGAGTCGTTTGTTGGGATGGATTCGTATCGTCCGGGGCTACAACTTTGGTTTAGAAAGTATTTCGAGATAATGGATGGAAAATTACAGAACTTACGTAGAAGTTGATGTTGCGTTTGGAACTCATGATTTGGAAACTATGGATGGTTTCTTCTTGTTTCTTCTTCTTCCTTGAACCATCTATGGAGGAGGGTGTTTTCTTCTCTCCTTGAAGTTGCCGACAGTGAGAGAATGGAGAGGGGAGAGATGAGATGATGGTGATGATGGTGGAACATGATGATGATGTTATGGAGTGGTTTTGGGAGTATTATAATGAGAAGATTTTGGACTATCATGGCATATTGGGTGGCTTTGTAGACTTTAAGAGATTTCCTTGGATTTGTTGTGAAGAGGGCTGCGTGATTGAGTAGTGTTTGGGGATTTTAAAATATTCCCCTACTCTGTAATTGATAAACTGGCTAAAACGGTACGCGCTTTTTCGCCCAAACTACTCCGAATTGAAAACGGATTGTGTTTTTGGAATGAGACTGTCAAAACTAGAATTTTGACATAATCAAAATATTTTTCTGAGAACTTTTATTTTTCTCAGTGTTTGGGTGTGTCTCAGTCATAAATTAATTTTATAATATGAATGAGATATAAATATATGGATTAAATCCAAATGATAAATATGGTGTTGTCAAGGGTCAAAATTATGATTTCTAATTTTATGAAATCTCCTTTAAATTGAGTTTATTTTATGGGTCAAAGTTACAAATTTTAATATTTAAAATCATCATAGCTACAAATCTATAAATCAGATGGGTTCATAAAATGTACCGTTGGATTCATCTCTTCGAGACATATCCATAAAAATAACTTTCTTAACAAAAAGTAATTATTTTGAAAGTCCATTTATTTTTGGTCAAACGTATAAATATTCCTTATTGGACAGAATTTACTTTTGTTTTATAATAAATTTTAGGCCATATTCTGTGGCGTTACATCTACTCCTCCCGAGTCCTCCGTTAGGCGCTCCGAACGTGTCTCGGACTCTAGTAAAACCCTGTGCATCTTCTTGAATAATTCAAGGAATTGGCACTTCAAGTCTTGGTGTTTGTCGATGTAGCACTTTAATCTTGACTTGAATAAATTGTGTTTGTCAATTATGAATACATGTGAGTCAATACTTATCAACACAGAAAGGTTGAACTCATGCATTCCAACAGAACGGAGGGAGTAATCACTTTATATACTCCCTCACTCCCAAAAAGAGTTGTCTATTATTGTTCACGAGTTTTGATTGAAGTTATTATTTTCTTTAATTTATTTGAAATTTCTAAGAAATATAAAACTAAAATTTATATATTTAAAAATTACAAAAAAAATTTACAAACTAAGAGGAAACAAAACTATATTATTTTCTCAAATATGTAGCGAAAGTAGGTCGAAAGTGTGGTTAAAGTTTGATCATATGAGTAGTAAACAAACAAGAGAAGAATGAAGAGAATAATCTATAAGATCAAACAAGAGAGAAGATGTGAGTGAAGAAATGATGTAAGGACTCCAAAATATATAGATTGTATGAAAAGAGCTGTTTGAAGCTCAAAAATATAGCCGTTGGTGTAATGACCCGAAAACCGGCTTAGTAGTTAGCCGTTATTTTAATAAAAATAAATAATGAATTTATTTACTTAAAAATATGAATTATTTGTAAAGTTGACTATTTTAAATAAAAATTAGACTTTTGGGTAGGCCTCGTAAAATGGTGACTAACGGTATATAGTTTGTTAAATTTGGAAATAAGTGTAAAGCGTGGCGAGCAAAATAGGCGTTATAGTTCAATAAATAAATATAAAGAATTTTAATAATACAATAATAAAAAAAGAAAATATCCTAAATACAATAATATTCAAGGTTAAATACATAACCCTACCCCAACTCAGAAAGCAATTTCCCCTCCCCCTTAATATATACCTGCAGGCTGCACACCACAAGAAAAAAAGAGAAAGAAAGAAAACAAAAAGAAGAAGAAAAAAAAAAGAGATAAAGAACAAAGTTACGGGAAAGAAAAGGAAAGCAACAGAGACGGAGAGAAAAGAGGAAACAGAGCTGAGCCCTCGGAAGGAGGGGGAGGACCACCGCTGTTCGCGCCGCTGCTTCGCCACCGTGTGCGCCGTCGCCTATTCGCCGGAATTTCCTTATCAATTTGATTAATTTAGTTCGTCTAATTCGTCAAACAATCGAGGTGAGTACGTGGACATCTAACACTAGATTTTGTATATAGATTTGAAATTCATGTTCGTAGTTTCGTATAGTTGATTACGTGGTTTATTTGGTTATAATAATTACGATTTATTTATATTATATAATATTATTGAAATTGATTGAACGAGGATGACCAGGTACGCTTTCTTACTTTAAGTTGTGTGATTTGCATGATTTTAATCCTTAAAGCATAATATGTATGAATGATTTGGAATTGGGTTGATCTTGTATGTTGCATGAGAGTAAGTGAACAGTGTTTACACCTGACGCTAGGCCGCTAATTGTTGAGTATGCGTGCTTATCTAATTTGTTGTGATCTCGTACAAATTTAGAAATATGGAATTATGAACTTGAATATGGATAGGCTACCTAGCTGAACTATAGGTAGACTGAGGAACATAATAAGAATACAGTTATGAATAACTGGTCATGTGACAAGCCGACATGCATGCATGATCAGTTGGGTAAAGCGTGCGCACGGGGTCGTACATCTGCTCAAGGATGCGAGTAGGTGGTCCCACCCAGCCGACGTTGGATGACGTCGTATTAAGCCGGTTCTTCATGGATGTGGTTGAATCAGGACTTTAGAATAAAGAATTGGTATTAGCCTAGGATAGGTTATGAGCTTAAAAATAAGAAATTTGATCATGAGGTTTGCATAAGGATTATGTGTCATTAATGCATAAGGTATGATTTTGAGATAAAATTGGTAATCCATGAAATTATGCTTGCTTGATGAATTAATTCATACTAATGATGTTATTAATGTTGTACTTGTGTGCATGATTTTGTATGAAATTATGAGCTAGTGGGTTCGTCTATGTGCGTAGTCGAAATGTTAGATATTTCTCACTTAGCTTTAGGGCTGAGCGTGTAGCCCTTTTTCCTATTTGCTACATGCAGGTAACAAGAATGATGAATAAAGAAACTATCCTGGAGGGCAGAGAGGTGGATGGATACTGGCTGAAGGAGTTATCTAGTTTAATTATTGCATTTAAATTAATTAATGTTTTTAAGGGCAAGAACCCAAAGTTAAATTTTGAATTAAGCTTCCGCACCGTTTTGTTAACTCCAATGGATAATAAAATATTGTTTTTGAATTAAATGTTTTAAATTGTTTTGAGAATTATTTGTTTGATGCCAATTTAGTAGCAACCCGATTCGCTAACTTGTTGGTTCGGATTACGCGAGTGGGGGTGTTATAGTTGGAGCATTAAAGTGGCTTTCCGACGGATATAATTTTTGAATTCTGCGCTCAAAAGAACGATGTTCTATTGCGTACATCATCATAGCTACACCGATGTAGTAGTGCAAACACCATTGTTTCCTTAAGACACTACTACAAAAAAGACTTCTTGAATCAGTTGTTTTTAACCTTTTAAATCAGTTGCGAAGCGTTGCAAAAGGTAGTGATGCAATTGGTGGAAATACTTTTTGCATCGGTTGTAGAACGACTTCAAATAGTCCTCCACAAAACTTCCGCCAGTTCTGGGGAGGACCTTTTGAATCGGTTGTTTCTAAACAACCGATTGAAAAAGCCTTCCCCAGAAAGGGCGCCATTTTTTGGAGAAGGCTTTTTGAATCAGTTGTTCCTAAGCCGTTTGCTACTTTTAAATTTCACAATGCCAAAACCTCTTTCAAATATGTAAACTTTGTACAACCAGGATATAACAGCTGTTTTGAGTTTCCTACTAAACTCTCATACATATTACGCTCTTCATCGATGACATCTTGATCAGGAAGAACATCTTGAGTACATCCTAACTCATCTATTATTTGAGCCTCAAAACCGTGGATATCGTCAATATTGTCTTCTACATCATTATTAGTATAGCTAGAGCTGCAAGCATTTTCTAACTCTCTATGTCATTTCCATTGCGTGTATATTGGGTCAAAACCCCGGCGATACATATGGCTTATATCCTTAACGCTATCAACCATAAAATGATTATGACAAAAGTTACAAGGGAAATATATCTTTTTACCCTCTTTTGAATGTTCCCCTACAAAATGAATAAACTCCTCCAAACCAGAACTAAATTCAAGTGATGTACGCGGCATATCTATCATAGGAATCCTTCATATGAATTGCTAGGCAATAGATGAACAACGATAAAGGATTTCATACAAAACTATTCACAACATAATTAACACTCGTTTCACATATATACACATACATATAACAAATGCAAGCAACCCATTATTTTAATTCTTATGATATAACAACAATCCGGCATCATTTCTTCATTATACAAATGATCCTTCTTTACTCCATCCTAACACATTCTTAAAACGCCACCCTCAATAGTGAATGTAAGTGCACGACGTAATGTAGTTACATATACACCCGATGAATGCATTTTGAAAATTCCAAACCAAAAAAATGATAGAACAAAGAGAAAAAAATATATTCACCACTTAAGTGAGAAAAACAGTTCAAAAATAGCTCCAAACTGGGAGCTATTTAAAATTTACTCCTAATTTGTAAATTTTAAACGGGTATCTAGGTCGGAAGATATATGTCATTTCTATATTATAGCATTTCAGATCATGTAGCATGAAATGAAAAATAATTAAACAAACTATATTTGAAACAAAAAATAAAGATCTCACTTGAATATCACAATGTCACATTTCAATTAAGATATAAACACAAAAGCAATTCATGTATCTAGTAATTAAAGTAAATACATTGAAATAAAATTTTAATATCACATTTTATAGTAATGCACAAATTATACACAAAAAGCTAAAAAATGATTTAAAGTAAAGAAAAAAAACCTTTGAGTTTTGGAGAGGAGGTGGCGGGCGACGACGTACGTGGCACCGGCGATGGCGGATGCGACTTTGGCGTGGCGCTGGCGACGACGTGAGCGAGGTGGGGGCGAGCTTTGGCAGGCGATGGCGTAGACAGGCTAGGGTGGCGAGGGCGACATCGTGGCGAACTGGGAGCTAGCGTTGGCTGGCGATAGTGTGGGCGGACTGGGGTGGCGTGGGCGATGACGTGGACGGCTACAATGGAGGTAACGACGACAAGGAAGGTTAAGCGGCAACGTAGGTGAAAAAAGGTAAAGAGGACGATGGGGCGTCTTTTAAGATCGCGTAAAAGATAAGGTAATATGTGGTCGAATTTAAAATGTTCTTTTAAATAAGTTATTCCTAATAAGCAGTTCAAAAGGGCTTTGAATCGCTTATAAGAAATTACTGATTTAAAAGATGCTACATATTTAAATCCGTTATTCCTAATAACCGATTTAAATAACACCCGATTGGCAAAATTAAATTCCCTTTAGAATCGTTTTTTTACGTCTCTAATTCAAATGAGGAAACTTTTTTGCTCGATTTTATACTAATGAGAACATGAATTTTGTAACTTTTGAATACAACGCTGTTTTGTGCCAACAATCTGTTAGAATAAAGGTCCAACGCTAGAGGGGGGGTGAATAGCGTTTAAAACAAAATTGCAGGAAATTAAAACGAGAGCGTTAAAGTAAAGAGCGTAAGGAAGGAGCACACCGGATTTTATCCTGGTTCACCACAACGTGTGGCTAATCCAGCCCCCCGAGAGACTCTCTCGAGCTACACTAACTCCGTTAAGCTTAAGGGTGCTTAACAAACCGATACAACTTGAGAACCCGAGTCACACGAGCCTCAACACCTTTGCTCGGAGATACCGCACTCCAAGACTTCTCACGAAGGAACAAGGAACTTCCTTCGAGTTTACAACAAGGGAACAAACTCCCTTAAAGTGTATGAAAACACTTAAACACTCAGGAATAAAACTCTCACAAAGAGTAGATATGAGTGAACTAGTAAACGCTCAAGAACACGACAATTTCTTCAAGAATTGGCTCTCAAATAGCTAAGAAAAAT